CCCCCCCGTAGCCTACCGAAATCTTTCAAAATATACCGACCCTGAAAAATATTTAAAAGATGTGACAACTTGCATAGACATACTAAACGACATAATGACCGATTTGAGAGACAGTGTACATTTTTAAGTATTTATTTTTTGTGAACATTGGTCAAGTGAGAAATGCACACGTGTCCACACATTTGTTACAAAGACATTTAGACAGCCATTGTATGTTACAAACAACATGTAAACGAAACAGTCCTTCATAGTAATAATAGCACATTCCAGGATAAACAGTGGATTGTATAGTAGTCTAAAGAACAATCAAAGTTTGTTCGCTTAAAGTAAACCTTTTAGTTAGTGTAGTCTAGTTGTTCTACTTAGTACATTTGTTTAAAAATAGCAAGCCCAGAGCCGTAAAATAGGCAGTTTAGATAATAACATTAAACATTCATTGATTCATTTGACCATATCGACTTCAATGGAAAATGAAAAGTGCAAAAAAAAAAAATAAATAAAAAAAAAATAAAACAATAAAAAATAACATTAATAAATTACTGACAACATTTAATTTGCGGCACGCAATGAATTAAATGTATCTTCTTCTAGTCATTTTTCTAGTCATTCTTCTGAATGTGTCCATAACGGCCAGAATGTCCTGGCGCACAGCTTCCCACGCGCAGCAGCTACAATTCTGTCGGAAAGAAAAGTCGCACAGTTAATCAATGCAGATTTGAATGAAGGTATAAACACATTCTAAACTTTTTCGTTATTTGTTTGGTCTCGTTTACCGAGTTTCTCACCTGCTGTGTGAGAAACTGATCGAGCTTTCTGAAGTTCTCGACCAACGTCTCAAATTCAGAGCTCATCACCACCGGGACCTAGATATTAACAATAACGATTAACGTCCAAAATTGTAAATAATGTAAGTAATTGTTGACTCAGCCCAGCTACTGACTTACGTTTGATTTAGCTTGTCGGTGGAGATGTTCCATTAGTTCTTGGAATGCATTGTTATTCCAGCAGTGGGTTCTGTTCTTCTTGAAGAGCTCAAAGGTAGAGTTATATGATATCTTCAGTGCCTGAGATAATTCTTTCTGTCCAGTGAACAAAAAAAAAGATCAAACATCCAATGTCAAACTTACAGGATATATAACACCAACAGTCCTGAATATTTCTGGAGACTGCAGAGCCTGAATGGCACCTGAACCAGCAACTCAAGTTCTTTCACATCACTTGAAAGCGGCCAGCTGCATTTAAAACTCCGCAGGAAGATAGATCTCTAGGATGTAACATTTCTGTCTTGTATTATATTGTTGCCTACCTTACTCGGAAGACTCGTGAACCGATAAGACATCGCTTTTTCCACTTTACGGGGACATGCTCCTTGGCCCTTTGAGAAGAAGAAAAAAAGATGTTGACGAGTGCTTAACACATTTTCAAATAGACACACAGATGATAGATAGATAGATAGATAGATAGATAGATAGATAGATAGATAGATAGATAGATAGATAGATAGATAGATAGATAGATAAGCCTTACCAGTGCATGCAGAAATTTAATTGTTTGAGAAATTGTCTCCTTTTCCTGAATAAAGGATTCTGCAAATATGGACGGAGACATGATAATCCACAGAAAATACAAAAAAGTTCTCATTGTGGTTTTGTATTGACAGCTGTACAGTGCAGAGCAATATGACTAGGATATGGATACTATCTTATGGTAAGACTCTGGCTATATATTGTTCTCCAAAAAAAAAAAAGAAAAAGAAAGAAACTACCCTACTAAATTTGCATTCCCTTCAGCAGGTGACAGCGCGGGAAGCCCAGCGGTATTATAATTGGAAGTTTCAGAAGGAGAAAATTACGTGCCTCTGTTCGTCGTGGTGGGCGTTCTTTTTCTCACCTTGAAAAGGCAATGAGATGGATAGGATGGCGATGGATAGGAGTCAAACTGGGACTTTCGTCCACTATCACTATGTAGACACAATTACATCATATGAATGTCAATACTTACGAAACAAATGAATATAATTAATACCTTATTATAGCCTATTATTTATGTTATCCATACGTTATCTACAGTATACCTGTATATTCTGTGTCTTCCGGTTTTGCGTTAGATATATATGCAAAAATTAATTTTAAAACACGACTTAAAAGCGGCTGTATATGTGTTCTCAGAGTGACTTCATCAAACCGTTTGTGTAAGGTGATGACACAACTGGAGCGCGAGGTAATTCCTCATCGTTACAGGGCATTGTTTACATACAGAGCGTTTCACTTTCAGTTTCCACAATGACCTGTGTGTAGAATTCCTTTAGCAATTCCACATGAGCCACATATTATGAGGCAATTGATTTTTGTTCCATACTTTGTTTAAAAATCGTTTATCGATGCTGCAAATTTCCTTTCATTTCCTTTTTTTTACTATTATTATAATTTTTTTTAAAGAACCAAATAATTTTAATCCAGAAACATATTCTGTTTGTGCAAATCACATTATTGTGCCTCATGGACGACGAACAGGTTACATCTCTTGAAAAAAAAAAGTCTATAGCTACACCTAGGCTAAATACGAGAAGAAATATTGGAAACATAAAAATAAATAAATAAACAGTAAAAAGTGAAAATGTAAGCAAAGTGTGGTTTTCAGTTGAAAGGAAAATGAGTTAATTGCCTATATCTTTCGTTGTCCTGTCTGGAAAATTCATTCCAAAATCCCAGTCAAAGTTTCTTATGCTACATTTAGAGGGGGAAAAAAAGTACCATTCATCTTGAAGGGCCAAATCATTGTTGCTCTTTCCAATAATATTCATAATAAATAATATATGAAGGAATTTCGACTTTAATATAAGCTATTAAATGTTGTTAAATATGGCAAAATTAAAACTAATAATAAATTAAAACTGAAAAAATTCTCATGTTAAATGTAAAACTGAGTGTCTTTACATAGCCTATAAAAGCTTAAAGTAGAGAATTAATTTTATGATGCTTTAAATACCAATATTGTGGTCAAACCAAAAGTAACACATGGTATTTACTCTTTTTAATGAACAGACCTATGCGACACTGGTAATTAGGGAATATTAGCTAATCATTCAATAACAAAACACGCTTAAAACAGAAAACATATAGCTTATTTTAATTACCGTCCTGAAGTAAAACTCCGACAGCACTATTTCAGTATCTATCTAAAATCTAAAATATCTCAAATCATTATTGCAAAGCTCAGTCGGTAGGGGGCAGTGCATAATAAGCTTTTCTAACTATTTTATAAACGTTTTTTTTTTTTTTTTTTTTTTTTACAAAATATGGTTATACATAATTTTAATAATAATGTATAAAAATCAAAAAAGATATTTTATGCGCTCCAAAAAGATAACCAGTCCGTTCTCAGGTGGAAAAATCAAGAAAAATTTGATCAACTGAAAAAACAGATCAAAGAGCAGCATGAGCTGAAACGTCTGCTCTTTGCTCTGTTTTTAAGACACGTTTCACTTTTTTGCACTTTTGTCACCCTGTAGAGATGTTAAATAATGTGAGAGACCCTTGCCTTGGTCTAATTGTGTGTCTTTCAGTGTGCTGACATTTTTGTTTTTTTTGGTTGTTCAATAATAATGTATAATAATCAGTTTTGGCTGCACCATAAGTAATACATTTTATAATAATACATTTTGATAGAGAAAATAATTTGTATGGTTCAAATTGTTTCCCACTTGACACAAATTATATAATCAACTATCCCTGCATTCCATTCGGAGGGACTCATCCCTATGTCCTAATCCCTTCAAAGGGTATACCCTCCGGAGTGAGAGCTTCGAAGGGTTGAAGGGTGTAGGGGACAAAACAACTGTTTCTTGAAGTGCCCTTCTGCGTCGTCACATGCACACAAGGAGGCTCCGTCATCATGCAAAGAATCTGCGCAAAGGATCATGGGAGCCCAAGGTGTCCATCAGTTGTACCCTTCGAAATTCTTAATTCCGAAGGGCCCTTTGAAGTGGCCAGTTTTGAGCACTTCGGTTTGGAATGACCCTTCAATATGGCGGCCATGATTGTTTTCACTCCGAAGTGCCCTTCAGAGGCGATATATCCCGTTTGGAACGCAGTGTATAAGACATCACTATGCACCCTCTCCAGTCGGAAATAGTTTGTGTTCTCTGAATTCTGCCATGTGAATCATTCATCATCACCCTTCCAAAACACCAAGACCTTACAGCTCTCATAAAAACTGACACTCAGAAACACTTCATTTTACGGTATCACAATAGATAGTTTGCCAAAAAAGAAAAGAGTAGGCCTACTTGACAGACATTACTAAATCAAATTTGATAAAACGATTTGACAGACTTTACTAAATCACACCTGTCTCAGTAACAAAGTGACAGCCATAAGCTCTGTAAAGTGCAAAAATGTGTTTGCCCACACTTCTTAGCCAAACTCAAAAGTCGGAAACACTCTCTGATTGTGAATAATTTTGCTTAAGTTATCTGAATTTGTTTTGGGTTTTGAAATGAAGTTTATACGTTTTCAAAATTAAACTTAAAGAAGTCAATTAAACTTAAAGAAATCCATTGTCTTGGCTACTTGTGAGTTCAAATAAAGGTCATGTTGAGTTTACCTATTTTTAGTCTACCATGTTTTTAAGGCAGGTGAACTTTCATTGTAAATTTAACCAGCTGGAAATGTTTTACGGTGCATGAATAGCTATGACTGTTATAGTTTCCTTTTTTTTCAGAATGATGTATTGCCTGTGAAACATTTTTCTAAATTAATTTTCTTTTATATATTTACTTGTATGTAATAGTTAAAGATGCTGTTTACACAACTTCTCAAAATTTAAGTAACTAGAACATTATTTTATGACCTAACTGCAGCTGATTTATCTCTTTATCCTAAAAAAATGATATTAACCTTTTATTCCAGGACAGCATTCCAAAAGCATGCCCAAATGGAGCATCACTGAAAGTACCAGAATCCAAACGCATCAGAAAATCTTCACATGGCCCACCCAGAAAACATTTTTTTTTCTGGGGTGGGACATGTTGTCATGTCCATACATCTGAGGGTGAGTATTAACCTCTTGGTTCCTAGTTGCCCCTCAGTGCTCAGTACAAGATTTCTTAATCGTATTTAGTAGTTGTTCAGTTTTGTGCAGCTTAAAAGTGATCAGAGGTTGTGCAAACTGGAAGGGAGGGAAGAAACCACCAGAGCCCAAATGGGTGTGAATCAACCACTGGGTGTTATTCATAGAAACTGCATGGAGAACTCTCGCAATAGCTGATGTTTTTCATTCAGCTGTGCATGAGACTAAAGGGAATCACTCGGAGAGGTTCTATACAGGCTAGCCTAAAAATCCCTTTTTACAGCTCACTAGAACTGGAAAGATGTCAAGAAACGTCTACTCATGTGAGTGAACAGTGGAGAAGAAAGCAAACTTTATTTTTGCAGGTGAGAAAACAATTTCTAAGTTCCTTACAGTTGTAGTCTCAGCCATGTGTTCCTATCTGATGGTTTTGTTAATTGATTTCACCCACCAACTTTCCGGTGACCTGATTTGTTGACGAGGTGGAACACAGCTTCAACCACATGGTACAGAAAGTGAGGCAGTTTCACCTATTTGATAAAGAACATCATCTTGTCAGAGTTATTGCTTTCGTGGAATAGCAATTGGTTAATAATTTTGCAAGGCTCTTCTTCCCAGGGCGCTGTCCTTAGTTGACGCGGTGCGAGGTATGGAGCGGGGTCCCCCTCGGTCCGTTCGCCACGGGGCCCCTTCAAGCACGGGGCCCGGTGCGACCTCACCAGTTGCACCCCTCTAAGGATGGCCCTGCTTCTTCCTAATGACTCAGTTGAACCATACCCTCATCTCTCTTTCTCTCTCTCTTCCTGTTGCTAACTCTCACTCTTCTGAAGCAGTGATGTGTGTGCTGGAACAGGAAATGAATGCAGACAGAGGAGGCAGGCAAGCTGAAACTGGCACAAAGTTCTAGCATGTATACACACCCGCCCACGATACATACACACACACACACGGACACACACTGGCCCTGAGCAACAACTGTCAGAGCTGGAACTTTGAGCTGTAGGTGAAACGACAAAGCGGTGGTGGTGAAAGACTGAAGCCTGTCTAAGACATTAAGCGGACTGAGAAAGGAAAAGAGATTTAAAGAAAAAAGAAGAAGAACAGGAGACGGATCTTACAAATGTAACTTGAACAAGAAGAGAGAAAAACAAAGGTGTGGAGAAGATGCTGCGCCGATCCTGCCTCAGCAGGTAAACTTATTTTAACTTCTGAGTACTTATTTGGTTAAGATGTACATAATATTCACTCTGTCTTGAGGTACTTTGCCATTTATTTCAATACTTTTACTTAAAGTCTTACATAACA